TTCTAAAATTTAATGGAGACATGCGGTTGTCGTTGTTAGTGAGTAATTCTGTGGTACTATATAATGAAATATTAATTAAGCGTGGAATTAAATTTAGTTTCGCTCATGTGCAAGCTAAGTAAGAAAAAGTTGTGAGGTACCAAACAATTTGACGCTGCAGATGAATATAATTAAATTGTTGATTTTTTATCTTCAGGACTCAGTTTTAAAATAGGAATTCTTTTCACCATTGTTAAATAAAGGTCTTTACGAGTCTGTACTACATTAAATGGCTATGATTGATTCCGCAAAACAGTGAAAGTGTTGAACACTTTGGGAAAAATTACACTTACACTTACTATACGATGTAAAAACACGATTCCTAAAAATTTTCACGACAGAAAAAAAAACACAAACTGACCTCGAAATTTTACAAGAATACCTCTGTATTCAATAGGTAATTTACATATACAAATGATTTTTTAATATCAAAGGAACTAAATAAGACACGTATACTATACGATACACATTTTTCAAATGGCTTTAATCGTTTGCAAAAAAAGTATATTAAAATATGAAATAAAGCCAGTGTGCATTAGGAAAAAAATTAATTCGAGATGAAGTAGTATCGACTCTTACTATGATATATTAAAGTAATTTTTAACTTGCATACGTTAAAGAAACCGCTTTAAAAATGTTAATCTCGTAATGACCCGCTTTTCAAATTATCGATTGAGATCTGTTCAAATAAGGCGGCTTTTTTCCCCATCCTGTAGCTTTCAAAGGAACGATGGATTCCAACGTTTTTCATTATAATGAGATTTTACTTTGTCAAGAACATTACGAAAGCGGTTAACTTTCATTTCTTCTTAAAAAATATCTACTTGTGGGAATAACTGAAGGACAGACGAATAAAAATGTTTTCCTAAAATCGATAGTAATTTTGATAGCAGCAGAGCTACTATTAAGAGAGTTCGGCAAAAACACTGCCACCCTACCTATTTTTGCCGCCAGTCAGTAATGTAACCAGCGTTCCGGTATTGAAGGATAAGCGCCAGTTACACGACGCGAGTTTGCGTGTGACGGCCGCGTGGTTACCGCCCAGTTACCACGCTTTCACGTACATTAATAGCGAATTTGAATTCTATTTACTAAGCAACAATATTTAAATTCCTCGGATTAATACAACCGCGTAGCCGCCGCGTAGACCAACTCACGGATGACATGGTTGAGAGTCAACCGTCACCATGGGACCTGTAAAGGGCCCGAAACGTCGGTTTGTTTGAAAAAACAAATATACGCGATTTAAATCCGGAAAAATAGTTTCATTTCCTAAACAGATTTGTTTACGGTTTACGAAGACTAAGGCAAACTGTCTCGCGAGAAGCTGCGTTGACGGCCTATCACGGCTACGTTTCGTCCGTTCTCAGCTACGGTCTTGTACTATGAGGTAACTCAGTAATCTTAGAAAGAGCGTTTAAAGTCCAGAAGAAGTGTATTCGAGCAATTTGCGGTGCGTGTTTCGACGTCAGTTGCAAACTGCTGTTTAAAAGGCTGAACATATTACCTTTGCCATGCATGTACATTAGGGATATCTGCGTCTGCAAACTAGAGCAAAAATTATGAATCTCTTATATTGGTATAAGTTGCCATAAAGTAATTTATAAGAATAACTGCTTCAACATGTGTATAATTATTTACAATAAATTACCAAACGAAATTAAATTGTTACAAGGACATATTTTTAAATTAAAATTGACAAAATGGCTTGTGACACATTGCTTCTATAGTAATAAAGAATACTTAGAATTTACATATTCATTACATTAATTAGAAACTATAGAGACTAAAGAAACATTGAATCCCATTGATATTTGCACATCTGCTTGCAGGTTGAATGCAATGTACCTAATTTTACTTAAGACCTTTGCAATTACTGTATTCTGGCAAATAAACGTATTCTATTCTATTCCAAAAAAAATCACGTACTTGTAATTATGCACACATTACTTAGATTTAGTCAGGCAGTGAATTCACACCGCGAGACCTTAACTTTATAGTATTTTTACGACTTGTCATCGAAAATCCGAGAAAACTAGGTTACAAAGTAACCACCGTCAATATTCCATTGTTCGATTCCTTAGCTGCGACTCCAGATCATTCGATTGATAGTCATTCGATTGCTGATCGTTCAATTGCTTGACACCTTGCCAGTCTGTTGGACCGTTGTCGTATAAGTTCTTCAATACGTTCTTGTCTTATTGGTAAAAGTATTTCAATTCAGTGAAACCCTTCTCCAAACGTAACTAAAGTCGTTAAAGGTTAATTAAGCTCTTCGAACCTTACACCCCATCATCTTCGCAAGAAGAAAAGAACACACCCACAAAAAATAACTATTTACTTAACATGTAAAAATGTCTAATGTTACAACCCATATTTTATTATTTATTATTATATTTTGGAACGTTTAGAAAACAAACAGTAAAAAATAATTTTTTTACTTTTAAAAATTGATGACGAAATGGTTATGTCCATACTAAGAAAACTGTCATTCTTTAAGTAAATAAATTCCCTCAATTCCGATCAATGTAGGGCTAAAACCCTGCAACCATAATAATAATCCATTTTCGACAAATTACCTATCCGATTAGGTTATAACATAACAGAACACCATATTACGATTTTAACACTATAATTGCTTCTAATTATAAAACATAAATTAGCAAAGTGATCCAACGTGTCTTCCTTAGCTGTGTTCAGCTGGTTCTAACCCTACTGATAATGAGACTTGACATAACTAAGTAACAGGGAGTAGATGAATAAACGTATTAAAATAAAATAAAAACCAGGATAAATACACTATAGTTCAGAATAGAGTGATTTGCATTAACTGGTTGATGACTTTAACATCTCAGTCAGCCATGACCATGGGACCTGTAAAAAGTCCAAAACGTTGGTTTATTAGAAAAAAACGAGATACGATATTAAAATCCGTAAAAAACTGGTTTCATTTCCAATGTAAGCAACTAATTTTAAATTCTACCACCATATAAATAACGACGTAAATACCTCAACCAGATTTTGTAACCTACCCGGTTTATACTGAGGTATATGAAAAGATGGCGAGCGGAGGAAGCGAAAGGGGAATGTCAGGAGTGTGGAGGGTGGTATCCACGGTCTCTGCATATCCCAGAGGGAGGAAATGTATACAGGGCGTCACACGGCTATGGGACACAGAGGAAACTTATTTTAAATATTTGAGATAAGATGTTGTGCTTCGTGGAAACGTTATTTTATTTTTAATAGTTTTATTAGTTTTAATAGTAATCATTACTTTTAGTAGCATTAGAGCTTCTTGTGCATGAGTTCGTCCAGGGAAGTACTGGTACTATACCTATTTTTGCCGCTGAGCAGTAATGTGAGTATAACTGCGATCCAGTATTGAAGGGTTAAATTCTGCTGGTGTAGGTACTTACATGGAACTTATCAGCTAATGTCTCAAGGTGACGGGCGCAGTGGTAATGCTCCTCAGGTCTTTGCGATTTAATACTCTGAGTGGCACTGCCACTGTTACGGGTAGGCGTGTCGCTTACCATCAGGCGCACAACTTGTTCGTCCCGTTAATTGATATTACAAAAGAAAAATAAATAAAAAAGTGTATCTTAAATAATTTATTCAAAGAAGAGAATTCAAATGTACATGCACGAATAGTAGATGATATTTAAGTAAATTATTCTTTTACGGACGTGAACGCAAATTATCTTAAAATTATACCAATTCACGTTAACGTTTAAGAAATGATCTACCTAAACAAGGCTCCGTAAACGTTACGACAATTAGACTTAAATGTATAAGCTCCTATCTAACAAATGAAAACAACATACCGTGAGTAATGCGACACATTACATAAATCCTTCTACAATGTGGAAGTAACGAGCAATTTATGAATAACATACATATATACAGGGTGCAATCCTGAAGTGTGTCTCTCTACAAATGCCATAATAAATGTACGAGATTGTTTAACCTTAAAATTTAGGATATTTCTTGTTTTATTTTTAAAAGTTATTGATGTCGTTTTACTCCTTAGGCAACGTACTTTCGACATCAGTTACATAAAGTTATCAGTAAAAGTAAATGTTTTTGATATCTCTTATAGTTACGGAATAATCGCCTGGACACACCCTGGACAAATATGTCAGTTAATAGTGTTAAAATAAATACACGAGTAAAATCTTTGTAAGGCAATTTTACAGCGCCCCAGCGGTAGGAACTGCTAAAACTAGTGACCGCGTAAAATATTCATAATACGGTACATTGTACAACGGCCCTGGCAATCAGAATAATACTGCATTTTCGCGAGCTTGTAAAATATTTGTATGACAAATTGTACAGCACCTTTATCGGTCAAAAATACCCAAATTAACCGCCGCGTAATATATTTGAATGGCAATTTGCTCAATGTATTTATCGGTAGCAAGAACTAAAATTAATGACCGTGTAAAATATTCATATGGTACATTTTACACCGGTTCTAGTAATCTGAATAAAAACAAGTAACGAAAAAAGATGTGTCAAAGCAATTTGTCGATTGAAGAGGACAGATAGCTGCAAACCATATTTTAAAGACCTTCGACTATTGACTGTTCCTTCACTTTATATCTACGAATATGTTCGAAAGTACCTACACTTGTTCACGTGAACTCTAAAGTTAAGACGTTATCACCAACTACGTTTGGAAGCCTGTAAAATGCCTTCATGCAGAAAAGTATTTTTGTAATGGCGACAAAAATTTACAATAATTTACCGATATTGGACCACCTGGTTTAGTCTGTTGAAGTGACTGTGAGTGAATGTGCTCGCACCTTCTTTGTAGGCCTAACGTTTGGCACGACACAGTAAAACTATCCTTATATTTGAATTGAATGTCAGTTTCCATAATAACCTGTTTTCGCTAATAAATTATTATGAATTATGAAAACTAAAATTGGCAAGAGTAAACATTATAAAAACTGTTTCAGATACACACTCAGACTGAAACAGTGTTGTATGGAATCAATGATGTCGAGGAAACGGGACCAGCAGCTTGATTTTGATTGCCTCTCCCGATCGGAAACGGCGTCTCTTCCGAGTCGAGGCGCATTATTACGATTCACAACTGATTAGAAAGATATAGTAGGAATCACGTTCATCTTCTCGCTTGGAAACCCAACTGATTTCGAAACTACCTGATCGGTTCAATTCCGCTTTGATTCAAAATCAGCATGCAGCTCCCCGAAAGCAGGCTTACTGTGTATAGAGGCACCAAGCCAAAACTGAAATTCGCAATGCGTATAATTTACGCAGTCGCTGGCGATGTTATATTTTTCACAAATAAATTACTATGAAGTACGAAAACTAAAATTGGCCAAAGCATGGGTCAATAATTCAAAAGGAATGCTTATCGCTGTACAAGACAGCGTTGCCGGGTATTTAGTACCATTGGTACACCAGATAATAGAGAGTGTAGATTCTGCCACGTGGCGAGCGAAACTCCTGCTCATCTTCTCACCCAATGTTACCGCCTGATGGGCGTACGAAGCTCCATACTGGGGAGGCACATGCTACAACCAGAGGACAATAAATGTGTCGGAACTAGGAAAGTCCTTCAGTTCTTCAATGCTGTCGGCCTTGGCTCCGAACTGTAATTAGTCCATGCAGTTCTGTAATTAGTGGTGATCACAATAGATCAGCCGATGGTCGCAGTGATGAGGGGCTCCTGCTCGATACGGCACGTATTGTTCGCCGGTTCTTGAACCTGAGTCCCTGACCCCGGTCGACTGTGTAATTGCCGGGAAACACTGCCTCTCCCATTTATAAATTCAAAATTAATCTTTTAGGCCTTGGGAGATATGAGAGTCTGTAGATATAATAATAATACACCAGATGTCGCGATGAGTACCAAATAGGTATTTATGTAACTAATTTGTTTTACATTGACGAGATGCAATTCATCAAAGCTACTCTAATTTCTAGTGATTATAAACGGAAGGAAGCGTTAATTTATAAATTACTTTGCAACTAACACATATGCATAATTTTAATGATATTACAAGGAAAAAAACTGATTATATTTCATATGCAAGAGGAATTTACATAATATAAACTACTTCCAGGTTATTGATAAGCACCATCTAGACATAGACGGAATTTTGACCATTTTTATAGCTACGACTTGTAGTATGGAGATCAGCAATCATCTTGAGTTATATGGTCTATGGCCAGAGTAAAAATTATAAAAACTGAAATTCAATACACTTTATGCAGTCGCCAGCGATTTCAACATTGTAAGCTCATTCTAGACGTACGTTGCCAACGTGACATAATTTATTGGCATTGGAACGCGACTTGAAATGGAAATAAAGCTCGAAAATATTCTCTCACAGGAAACATTCTCTTGATTTATGTCGAAAGCAATTGTAATTGTGACACACTTATGTTTCTCTAAGTGCCTACTTGGAATTTCTCAACTACAGTTAACAACTTTGCGGGTCGCTACATAGTTAAGATTCGTCTTTATTATTTGAGTACCTGATGCAAACAAAGTTTCAAGAACATAGTTACATGAATATTAGTAGCAGTAGAGGTCCTTGTGAAAGAGTTCGTCCAGTGATGTACTGTCCCCTTACCTATTTCTACCTCCAAGCAGTAATGTGACCATTGTTGCGTTCAGGTTTTGAAGGGTAAGGGTGCTGGTGAAATTACAGGCACATGGAACTTGTCAACTTATGTCTCAGGAAGACAGGTGCAGTGGAAGTTGCCCTCAGATCTTCACGATTTGAAGCTCTGTGTGGCACTGTTATGAACAGGCAAGTAGTTAACAACCAAGCCCACGACTTGCAGTCCCCGTCACCTTGGTATTATAAAAAAAAATATGATGTACGTGTTGGACCGTGTTCTATCCGGCTCGAAGGACCAGGGAATTGTGAGCTCTTCAACAAAACATCTTCAATATTTCACTCTTGGTTTATTGATTTTCATAAGTGGACTATATACACATTCCGGACACACTTTTTTTTTCTATTGACAAAAAGTTTTTTATTTTATAAACATAACAGAATTTACAAGCGTATATAATATGGTATAATAGGAAAGGATATAATAGGAACGTGCCACAAAAACCAATTTTGTTTTTGCCGTACACTGCCACTCGCCATCTAGTACAAATATACATATTATATATAACATTAAGTTTTAATTTTAAAGTAATCTAAAGTATCCGCTCAACAAACACTGTAAATGTAGTTCTAGGGTAAGATACAATGATAGCATTAAATTCCACCTGCTCCGACGGACCGACACGCAGTGTATGTGCAAAATTTCGGTTCCTATGTGCCTATAATTTCACCAGCATCCTTACCCTTCAAAACTGGAACGCAATAATGCTCACATTACTGCTTGGCGGCAGAAATAGGTAAGGTGGTAGTACTTTCCCGGACGAACTCTTTCACAAGGAGCTCTACTGCTACTACAAAACAAATTGTTAGTCAAAATAATATG